GATCCCTGGAAATAGATATATAAATTTTTTATAATTAATTTAAATCTTATTTTTTGGAGTTGTTAATTAAGTTTCTTATTTTAAAGATAATCTACTTATTATAAATTATATAAGACCTGTTATAAAAGACAGATATAATTAGAATCTTATTTAAAGTTTATAGACTGATATATATAGATTTTATAATTATTTATTATATTGTATAAGAAAATAGTTATAATATTAATTTATTTTTATACTAGTTTCTGGACAGCTATTATAGTTAATATTATTTTTACTAATATTTCAGAGATAACTAAAGTATATATAGTATTAAAGTCCTTTTCTGGTTTTTAGTAATTATTATATATAATTTATTATACTTTGAAGTATATAATATAGCTGTTAATATCTTTTTTTAAAATATAAATCTACTTACCTGGGAGTATATAAATATTTTAATAATTTATTAAAAAAGAAATTATCTAATAAATTTTTATATTTAATAAGCTTTTAACTTTTATAGTCATAGCTTTATACTATAAATCTATATAAGATAACTTTATTGCTGCTTTATAAGATAATAGAATTATAATATTAATAACTTATAATTCTGACTTTATTATTAAATATATCTGATTATTTTTATATTATTTTAGTAGGATTTCTTTTATTATTTATAATAATATATATTATTATATTTCCTGGAATTTAATAGATTCTAGTTCTTGAGCTGCTGTAGAGAATACAGGAATTTAGCTTTAAATCTTTATATTTTTTAATAAAGTTATTTAGAGTGTTAGGGTTTACAGAGAGTTAGATATTATAAATTATTATTTAAAATATTCTAGGCCTTTGCTTGAAGGAATAATAATATTTTTATTAAATAAATAATTCTATTTTTCTTATTTTTGTAGGAATTCAGATATTAAGTATAGAAGTTAGTTAAATCTTAGCAGCACTAGTTAGAAATAAAGATCTTATTTATATAAAGCCTATAATCTTAGAAACTAATAGAATTAAGTAGATATTTTAGCTGGTTTTAATAACTTATCTAGAAATATAATTATTATAGATTTAAAATAATTAATATTTATTAGTTCAGGTCCATCTATATTTATTAGATTATTTAATATATTTAATAAAGATATACGGGCCTCTGATTCCTACTGTTTAATTAATAAATATATTAAAATTATTAGTAATTATTTAATCTGTTCTATGTATTCCTGTATTATTAAAAATTAGTTTTTTTTATATAATTAAATTTAAAATATTCAAGATACAGCTGGTATCCTTAGTATAAAAAATAATATTTAAATATAATTTTATATTAATAATTCTTAATCTATAAATATAGTTAGAATAGATATCAAAGCTTGTAAGAGTAGATTAAAAACTAGAAATAAAATAGATACTACTTATTACTGCTTTAAAAATATAAATAAGTAATAAAAGTAAATCTTATTTTCTATAAATTAATTAAATTATAAAGTATTTCCCGGAAGAATAGCCTGATTTAACTTATCTTTATTATCTTTATAAGTCTTTAATTTAATGAACTTAATATCTCAGGATTAATAGATTTAATTATTTTTAGAAATCTAGACTTTAAAGATATAGCTATAATTATTTTTATATTTAATTAAGTAATTAATATTAGCATGTTTTATTATTTTTATTAATTATATATAATTAGCTTATAATATATAAATATAGGCTCAGCATCCATAGACTTATAGATAATTAAAAGCTAGTTTAAGGTTTAGAATATTATAATATTTCTATTATTTCTAGACTGGAGATTTCCTGTTAAAATTATTAATATAGAAAAGTTAGTTAATAATTATATTTATAGTCTTTACTATAAAGAACTAAAGTTTCTGTGGTAAGTCTGTATTAATAATTATAGTATAAATAGTTTAATTAATATATTCTCTGTAATACTCAGATGGATCATTAATTTTTAATATATAAAATAAAATTATTATTATTTTAATATTTTTAGTTTCTGCTTATTTTTTGAAGCCTTGGAATTTACTATTATTATTAATTTTCTAATTTTATATATTATATCTAGTTATATTCTTATATTTCTTATTAAAGTTAATAAGGTTCTGGATTATATTAGACTTTATTTAAAAAAAATAAACTTCAGATTATTAGATTACAAGATTAATTATAATAAGTATATAAAGATATCTGCTGTAGTTTGTTAGTTTAATAATTTATAAATCTGTAATTTATAAGTTTATCAGATTAATTAAAATAATAATTAAAGTATAAAAGACTAGATATTTAGACTTAATATAAAAATATATATTATAATTAAAATTTAAAATACTTTCTGTCTGAATCTTTTCATAAACTGTAATTATTACTTTTAGTCTAAAAGTTTCTATATATTTTAGTTATTTATATAGTAAGTATAGATCTAGCTTAATTATTATAATTTAAATATTTATATTTTTAAAAATCTTGATAAAGGGAATATTGTATTTTATATTAAAATAAGTAATAATCTTATATATTCTGATCTTCTGGATTATCTAGTCTAAGTATAACTAGTATTTATATATTTTCTTAATCTAGCCTTAGCTTAGGATGCCAAACTATATATTTAAATTATAATATATTTAATTTCTAATTATTATAAATTAACTATGTCCAGTATTAAGCTTAATTAATATTATTCTAACTTCTGTAGTTTAATTCTGTCTAGTATAAGAGATTTTATATTTATATAATTTCTTATTAAAATAAAAATCCTGATAATTAATAAATTATATAAGATCTGGAATAATATACTGATTAATTCTAGTATTTTATAATTATTCAGATTTCATGGTTAATTTAGATATATTTATTACTATACCAGAGAATTAGAATATATTATTATAATAGATAGTAATATTAGATTATACTAGGAATTCTAGACGGGCTGGTTGGGTATTTATTTTAATTATTAAAAGATTTAGAGATATTATTATTTAGATCTAGTTTATTTATTAACTATATTAATAAATAAAGATTTTTAATTATAGATACCATTTCTTCCATCATTTGGCTGGAACTAGGTATATATATATAAAAATATTATATAAATATTATATATAGTAAGAGTAGAGTTTTTTTATATATATAAATTAAAATATAAGCTATTATTTAATCTATTTATTCTTATTTATATTTATGGGTAGCTAGTATTTGTAATCTTTAAAAATATTTATTAATTTATTATTTTAATTTCTATTATTTGCTTTGTGGTTCTTTTATTAGATTATATTTAATAAATTTATTATTATATTTATAAATACTTTATTTATCTCAATTATTATTTTGGCTTTTTCTGAGATCTTAATATATAATTCATAGAATTAACTGTCAGTAAATTTATTATTATTAAAATTATTAAGTTATTTCTTAATTATATCACACCATCCCGGTAAGTCTGACTGTATATTAATAAGTAAAATAATTATAATAAAATAAACTAGATAATTATATACTAGTTATTAAGCAAGATTAAAGATTTCTCTGAAGCTATTAATATATTATAAGACTATTAAATATTAGTTTTAATATATTTTATAAAGCTTGGATATAATAATCTTATATTTATTAAATTTTTTATTTAATATAATTTTTTTAATCTTATTAAATGTCTCGTCAGTGTAGTAATTCTTAGTATTTTTATCTTATAATTTTATAAATATTTCTTATAAAATTTGGCCAGTTAACCAGAAGGAGATAAAAATATTTTAATCTTTTTATAATTAATAATTAGCACTGGTTACAGCTAGTTAAGAAATTATAATATTAATTATTAGTATACAGTAGAGAACTCAAAGTTTATTATATATTTTAAATTATTATATTTCAAAGTCTTCTTTTCCAGTCAGTTAATCTTTAAGATCTAGTAGAATACTCAGTAGTTTATTATCTAGAATTCTTTTATTCTAATTTATTTAATTATTAGCTGCTGGTGGTTGTGCTGGATTTACTAGATTTATTAATAATAATTATTATTTTCTAATTAATATTATTATAGATTTGTCTGTATAATCTGATTAAAATAATATTTATTTCGGGTGTAGAATCATCATGTTGTTATAATTTATTTTTGAATATATTTTAGTACTGGGTAATTATCTTAATTAATAAATATTAGTTTAGATACAGTTATTTTTGATGAAAATTAATAAAAATTGATGATTTTTAATATATCTGGTTGTCTTTTGAGCTTACCAGATTTATAATCTATTAGCTACAGGCAGGATCAGTGGTTCTGAGATATATGGCTAATAGGAAGAGACGTGTCGCCAGAGGAGAGATGAAGAGGTGGCCTTGGGTCATGTGACCACCATTATTCACAATAGTCTCTCTACTAATCCAGCAAAGAACATGCTAAAGGCTACTAACCAACAGGCTCAGTTGCGTGTATCCACGGTGTATGTTGTAATACAGGCATATAGATCCCTGCAATCGCAAGAGTTATAATACTCTGGTAATTGATCTTTTGAATACCCACGGCCACAAATCCTGAGATGATCTTACTTCATAGCCAGCTAGTCCCGACGAGTGAGGAGAGTAAGCTGTCATGGACAGAATTCCTAGAGATATAAATGAGGGATATTATTGATGGCCAGACCACAGCAAGTCTATAGTAGAGGCTTGTACTAAGCCCTGAGGTGATGATTACTGCCGTTTATTAGTATATCTTTTATAACATACGTATCAGAACAAGTGGCTGCCAGGTTGGACTATACCACTCCCAGAGAATGAGTGTGATAATTGATAATCTGCTGATAACAATGGTTGTGATTATATAGGAGGACTGCCATGGGTATCAAGAGCCACCCCAGGAGAGGCCTATCAGAAAGAGTGTCAGGCCAGACACGAATAGGAGGGTTCTGAAATAGTTAAATAGATGAATTTAGGCCTATTTTTGCTGGCTGCCATGCTTCTCCCGGAAGGTGGGTGGCCAGTAGAATAAAGTGAAGTACAGTAATATAACGGCATTAATGGTAATCAGGATGTAAAACACTCCCCGCCAGCCTGCAGAGGTGGTGTGGAGTACTCTCGCCGATGGCAGGCGCAAAGGCACCGCCCGGCGTCGTGAAGATGTACATGAGGCTGTTGGCTGCAAAGTGGTATTTCATCAGCACAAGCTCTGCTACCACATAGAAATAAGATACCTGGGTCGATGCAGCCAGTCCGATCAATGTCATGCCTCTGATGAAGGCGTTGACGCTGTCCGCTCTTGCGCATATGATACTCCCAACGGTTCCAAGGACACCACCGCTGATGAAGATGTATTGTCTCTTAAAAATATATGTGGTGCGGCTGATCAGGGTAAGGCCAACCGTCATTGTCAGTGTGTAGGTCAGCGACACCTAGGAGATGTCGGCGCTAGGGCCAATGTTCTGGTTGATGATGGCCAGGAGCGGAGCCGGCAAGGCAAAGCTGGTGATTGCAGTAAGCAAGTCCAGTCCGATCGCTGTCATCGAGCCAAGGAACAAGCTGGAGCAGAAGTAGCGAGGTGGAAGGCCATTTTCGGCCTTAATGTCGTGAATTGCGCCAGGAGTCTCATGTTTCTCGGCCATCCTGGCCAGATCTTCCAAAGAAGAGATTCAGCTGCCGCAAGCTTCGAACAGTCCCTACCGTTTTAATACAGGGGCACTGAGGAAGAAGCGGAATTCAATCTCCCCTCTAGATTCCGCCGTATTTGATCAAGCTGTGGCTCAACTGCCAGAGGCCCTCTTCATTCTACCTGGGGATAACATGGGGGAGGAGGGAGTCTCAAATATTCTCACTGTCTCAGAAATCTCTCATTCAATGCTCTGGACTCATTCCTGTCCATCCTGGTGTTCGTATTTGCCCCTTATACTCTCATCATCACACAAGTTGATCCTGTCAATTTTATTCGGGGTCTCCAATGCTTCTAATATAGATCAAACTCTTATCATGTTCTCAGAAAACCCCTGATTCAATGCCTTGCGCTCATCCTTGCACTCAGCCCTGTCTACTCCTAAGGTTTATATTAGCCCTGTTGTTTCTCCACCTGTCAAAATAATACCTGATTCTTATATACACCCAACGATGCCTCTTCATAAGGACAAATATGCCATATAACCCTGTGACATATGTGACAGTATGTATTGTCCTTGTCACTCTTGCCTATATTTATGTCGGACTGTCACTCTTTTCGCGGATTTACTATCAGGGTTGTATATTTTGGGATGATATTATCACCAGCGCTGCCAATCGGTGCTGGGGCACCGATTAGCTAGTGGCACTACTGCACATTTTCATCTGTCTGTTGCTGTACTTCATCAAACTTTCAATTATCTACACTCCCCTCCGCATTGCGAACACCAAAGTGTACCGGTATATCCTATACACACTGTTTATAACCAGGGGTTTTATCACCACCGTCTTATACTCTTGATGCTCTTCTTCTGCATTTCTCTACACTAATCTTGGAGCCACCTGATTGGCAGTGACGTCAACAGGTCTAGCAAGAAGATCACCAGCTTGATGAAGACAGGTAAATGTTGCCTGACTACTGGTGCCGACTTTTCTCAAGGAAAGGCTTTTATAAACTCCATTAATAATACTAATAATAATTATAGAATATCTTTTATAGACTATTTATTTATATTACTTAATAATGAGGTACAGTGTTTGCTTTTACATTATACATAGAGGTCATTGGTGGCAGATATGCAGGAAAAATCAATAACATGGCATTTCACTGATATAAAGCCCTGATCTTTAATAGGATCTAGCCTATTCTATTCAACATTTTGACCATAAATCGCCTAAGCAAAAGCTGAGTGAATGACTCTAAAATAAATGAGTTTAAAGGAGAAATAATAGCAAATAGCAAGTAACAAACTGGAGCTATAATTTCCCTAGATAAGGCTCTCGTTGGTTTAGCCATGGATTAGCTGGTGGAGACCAGAAGTCAGTCAGAGATATACTCTGTAAACCTCTAAACCCCCGTGTCAGAGACTCGCTGTATAGCCTGATACTATGGATGTATATCATATGATACTGAAACCAAGCTCCAGGTATATGTAATTTATTATGTCTAACACATCAGAGGCGCGGCCGCAAATGGAAAGCCTCTCGGGATGAGAAGCTTTATTCATGAGTCCCTCGTATAGTAAAGCTTCCTGTAGGCAGATGTGATTCTGGAACTTAGATCACCGGTTGGCAAGACAAACAAAGTGGTGAGGGGTAGGAGGTGTGCATTATATTCAGAGCATCTACTGCTGACTGTGGGGTCCCTATTAACAGCAGTAGAAGTACAGTAATTCAAATATCTCTTCATTCTTATAATATCCCTAGATTCTATATTACTTACCGCGGAGGCGGAAACGGGTGGCAATATAAATAGTTTAATCACTGAGATAGTTAGATATTTGTAGATAACATTACAGTGCTTAGCTATTTCAATAGTATTATCAAGATTATCTACTAATTATACAAGAAATAGAGCCTTCATTATTATCTAGACATCTTTTGACTCTGAGCTATGGTAAGGGCTATACATAGCAGTGGATATACATATCAATGATAAAAGAAATGGGTAAATCTAACTATGCTTCTACATATAATAATTTTCCTGTTGTCTGGAATTGTCAGGCTTCAAATAATAGATTGGTTAGCCAAGCGCCTGTTGTAGGAGTTGCGAACTACTTTCATATTACAGTAAAGAACTGGGGGAAATATTATGCCCAAAATATCTAGGTCACCTTGACTACATAACGCATTCAGAATATTACTTGGCGAGGCAGTATCCTCTTAACCACTTTGACTAATGTTGCATCAAGCGCAAGTTCAGTTTGAAAAGATTTACGGTTGTCTTTTGGTCCATTCATGCAAGATCTAGGACGTCCATCAGAAAGAGTAAATTTATTACTAGAGCACTATGCGCATCAACACCAAGAATAAGTCAAATTAGGAAGCAAAATACAAGATTATAAGAACTAACATAGCCAACTCAGGAACTATCAATGCAAACCACCGCGGCGTCCAGCCCTCATTAAATGGTAAACGTTCCTCTTGGAAAACGGCTTTCGCGTACTTAACCAGCAACTGACGGAAGACACCTTCACCAAATACGCCCTGGAATAGAGCAGCTTCAGCACAGGCCACTATGTGAGCCCTATAACCAAAGTCTAGAATCTCATTTTTTACATTTTGCTCGATATACCGCTTCTTGCAAAATCTCCCAAGATGAGAGACAGTGAAGAAGTCTTACTATAGATACCCGAGAAAGCCTTCAACTAATCCAGGATGAGGATTGATACAGTCACCTAAGGCGCGATCTTCTCTAGAAAGAGACACGTCGTGTTCTATTGCATGAGGCCGACCAGTTTAATCCAGATTAAGGACAGGTATTCCGGAGTCGTCTACCTGTTCTAGGTTGCGAAGGCCACAATGCGAATGCTCATCGTGGACAGCATACGCAGAATTGACAAGGCCTAGCCTGATGTCGATGCCCACGCCAATATACTTGAGGGCGTCCTTCAGCTGATTAGCCGTAATATTACGGCCATCACAGGATATTATACCGTGGTTCGCAAGTGCGTTAAGCACAGGACACGGACTTCGCAAGTCACCAGCACCTGCAGGGTGGAATTCATGTTTCTTGGCTAGATGTGATGATAGTGCCATTAGATAACAATATTCACTATGAAAGGTCAGAGTAGTCAATAAGACAAAGACGCTAAGCTCTTAGTACTTCCTTACTTATCCGAGTTGTGATGTGGTCCACTCTTCACTTATAATGATTGGCGCCTATCTCGTGACATTTGAGATCTGGTCGGGGTGGCTGACGTATGACATGATTAACCTCCGGACTTTGAATTCAGATATAGTCTAGACTCACTATCCGCTGCATGGGTGGTAGTGAAAACATAGTTAGGTTCACTGATTAAATTAGTTTTGCATAACAAGGTTGGCCAAAATGATTTGACGATAATAATACGGAATATTTAACTTTCGGGTTTATCTGGGGTTCTTCTTCTTACATCATATAATACTCAATATTTCAGTGATTTAGGTTTTCAGCATATCACATATAGCTCCTGTATGTTAAAGTAAGACAAGGAGCAGTGACCCGGGGCAGTAAGATTATCAAATTATACTCAGGAGAGATGGTACATCATGGTCACAGAGGCTGGAGTTAGATGGGATAATACTCAGATACTGTTAAGGAAAATCCAGATATTGGTTATATTCTAGTAGGGAAATCTTTACAACAGGACAACAGTCAAATAATATTTAATAAGTTAAAAACTAGTATCAATTATTATTTAATAATGCTATATACATGGAATATAATAGTATAATTTTTATTTCTAATTAATCATTGTGAACAGTTATAAGTATTTAAAAATAATAATAATTATTTCTGAATTTAATTAATACACGTAATAAAAATTAAATCAGATTAATATAGATAAGATAAATTTAAATTAAATTAATATCTTTTATTAATATTAACTTTAACTAGATCTATTAAGTGTTACAAAAATAAATATTATAATAATAAGTATTCTGACAGACGGCAAGCGGGGTGCCAGAAACAGCTCCTATTGAACCACGGTACCACCCCCAGGGTCTCGCACGCGTCGAAACCAGGCAATCACTCAATGAAGCCGGCCTTGCAGGGACACCACTCCAGGTCGACGTCAACTACCCAGATGTCAGACGCCCAAAAAGCCCTATCTTCCCCGAAGAATATACCCTCGAAACCCGGACCGGCCTCATCCCAGAACAATCATTAGAACAGATCCGCTCCTGAGCCTCCGTCACCACCCGCACAGCTTGGAAGAGGCTAATGAGAAGAAGGCTGAGTTTATTATATTTACCATTAGCGACCCTGAGCATCCGTACAACAGGTCATGTTTATATCACTGGTATATCACTCTCATCACATCAACATTGCTCGTTTGTGTTCCCTTTGGATCATCTATTATCACTAATAATCTTGGTCTCATTAAGAATAAATACAATATCTTACTAGAAGTCACTATTCTTATTTACTATATCATAGTCTGCGGATTCACCATTAGCCCCTTACTATAGTCTCTCCTTTCTGAAATCATCAACTGATACCCCATGTATATTATCTCACTAGATCTCTATATTATCTTTAATATCCTCTACATACTTTCACTGAATATTAGCAGATTTCTTATCTACTGTTTCTATGTGGTGTCTTCTCCAGTTCAAGTCTTTTTTTTACTAGTAGAACTTCTACTGATATCTAGAGCATTAAAAAACAGGGAATAATTATTATATATTTTACAGCAGTCTCCTATTATAGTTCTATTATTAGTCTTATTATCTGTAGCTGGATCACCATCAGTTCTAACTATCTGGATCTCTTCTTCAAGAAAAATCTTGTATTCACCAATATAATCCTTATTCTTATAAATTCAATTCCTGAAACATATACTTCTATTATCCTTAAACACCGCCCTGCTAAACTCTGTAAGAAAAGCAGAAATCTAAATATCATAACTAAGCAGGGAAAGACTAAACTTATATTTATAGATATTATTTATATAAATTTTATCTATCTTATTATAATAATTATGACAGAGCATGTTCTCAATCTTATGTATAGATATATATATATAATTCTTATCTATATAATACTTTATATCTTTTTCTTCGCATACCCCGAGATCTACGGAGAATTATATAGATATAATAACAGCCAGATCAGTCTTATATTTCTTCTTATTTTTATTAGTATAATCTTCGCCCTACTTACAATCCCACTAATCAAAAACAGCTTTAAAAAAGTCTGCAGCATCCGCGATCCTATATCTAAAGACTATCTTATCAGCATCCTTCTCACTATCCTCTTTATTCCTATCTTGCTCTTTATCCTCAACATAATATTCTACAGTAAAATCATCTAGATTAGCCCGGCCTCATTAAAAATTACCTTTAGGTACAAAATAATACTCTGTTATTATATTATCAATAATTATATTATTAACAGCTACTAGAAATACACAGCATCGGCACTTGCGGCCAAGATATTTTTAAGATCTAGTAGGAATACAGCATTTCCGCTGTTTACCACGCAGATATATGACTGTCTGGGACTGCAGTGGGTGTTGTGATTGCTTGCGTTTCTTAAGATAGGGATAGTATTTATTCTGTATGGGTTTTATGTTGTCGGGGCAAAGCTTTAGGGCGAAGCTTACAAGACATTGAGTTGGGTAGAGTGTGGCGTGGGGATGGGATGGAACCTCAAGGATGGACATAAGGTGTTGATTCGGGGTCCGTTGACACAAATTCCCGGTCTTAAATTATACGACGCGTTACGTTTACTAATTTATGCGTTGGTGATTGGTAATTCTGTCAGGCTGTTTAGCGCTGCATGATAGAAGAGGTTGTTGTTGTGGATTGCATTTTGTTTGTCTCTTTTTCAAAACTGGCGCATCAATCTTCCTGTTCTACTTTTATTTCTTATTTTTTTGATAATCTCTCCGGTCATATATATAGGTTAGAAGAGAATAGATCATAATACCTAATTTACTACAAGTTTGTTCTACTTCACTTCTTTCACCATGGCTATTGCTAGTTTATACGGCCATACAACATATACCTCGCTGGCCATAATGGTACGTAATAAAAAGGAACAGCATCAATCTGGTTAGGCAAGCGGATAAGAACTGCCAGTGTGTATATGGATATAAGGACTGTCACTGCATCCACTCTAGCTCGATGCTGAGTACCGTGCTAGAACTATACCCTCTAACCCTTCCGTACGCATGCTACGCCGGCCCATCCACTATATCCTGCCAAACGTCCTATGGGAGGTATAGAGTCAGACACTGCGATGCTGAAATCCGAGTGCGATATACTTATCTAGTTGATCATGTCCATACTTAACCACGGCAGAGTCTCGGCCCACTCTTCGGGAACAGTATTCGTCTCTATCCCGATAGCCGTCGTCAGTACCGGAGCCTTTTCGGGCTGGAGCTTATTCCTAAACGCCAAAACCTGTCAGCCCGATCAAGGACACCTTCCACGAAAGCCAAAAGAAATGAAGAGATAAAGAGATAGGTAACCCACTGCAAACCCTTTAAAATCGGCAACGCCTTGACACAAATCGGACTCCTCCTCTTAATCTTCTCAATCCTCACAACCGCCGCATCAAACGCCTCATGATAAACACTTGAATCGAACTCCGCGCTCTGCATAAGCAAACAACTTGCAAGCGCGACCGCCCCATGCAGCGCACAGAAACTCGTCATCCCGTATACGTACCACCGGTAATGGCGCAGCCGGGGCACTTCGAAGAAGAGGCGCTGGATCTCGAGGAGGGCTGCGCCGGAAGATATGCATTTTAATTGGGAGTCAATTTGTCTTTCAGGGTTACTGGGAGATTGTCGTGTACAGAAGGAGCGGTGTATGAGGAGGTACAGTTGGTGCGCGTACTGCTGTAGGATGCACCAGTGCGCGTAGCTGGCTATGTCAAGGATGCTAGGTTTCCCGTCTATGAGAAATTTCTTATCCCACTGTGCCTGTTCGGCTGCGATCTCCGTGTTGAATTGTATCAGAGTGTGCTCGTCCAGTGGCGTTGATAAGCGCTGACAGATCCGGCTGGATAGTTTAAAGAGGCGGAGCTTGAACATAATCATGGACATCTGTGTAGGCTGACTGGATGGCTGCCGGATGAAGTTATCGTGGATGTCTGAGTCGTTGACGTCTGCGGGGAAGAGCCCATGTTCCTGTTTGTCGAGGAGGAACGAGATGTTGATGTCTCGGAAGAGGATCGCCTGGTATGTGTGTAACAGACATATTCCCGCCCAGCATCGCCGGCGGCGCTCGAATTCGATGTAGCTCATGGCTAGTGGCTTGGCTTTTAGGTTGCAACGGAGGGTGATGCCGATGTTGTGGGCCGTTCCTACTATATAGTAATTAGTATTGATCTAAATGAGTTCAATGTAATAATGGCGCTACCTAGAAGTGCCCAGGTCTGCTCCACGCCATCATTGTGACTAATTCTGTAAAGGAGGATGAGAAGTGCCTCGAGCGTATTTAAGGAATGCTGAATAAGAAAGTTATCCTCGGACAGGCAAAGCATCGCTGACTTGCGATATTGAGATGCAATTCCCTGCAGACTGGTATACTGCAGCTGCTGCAGCCACAGTCGCTCTGCCAGGGGAACGTCATCATCCTTTAATGTGTTCAGCACCATGGACAGCACAGTGAAGAGTAGAGCTACCCATGCAAGATCCGCACTGGATAGGTTCTTGAGAAATGCATTATACTGTCTTTGGAATGTTGGACCGTGTAGAACGTGGAATAGTGGTGACAGTTGTAGGAAATACTGGGAGATAAGGAAGTCGCAAGACTCCCTCGGCGGGAGGGTGGCTAGGATATGTTCTTTGGAAATAGAAGGCCCGAACTGAAATGGGAAGCACACTTTCTTATCTGTAATCTGGCCCTGCTCTGAACTTACAGCGACTGGAGAATCACACAGTGGATTAACCTCTCTTTTGAAAATCGCTTCCCACCGCGCATGTCTCTTGCTTGCGGGTCCCTCTGGTTCAGCTTGGTTATCAGGGATTAAAACTTGGCTTGGTGATAGTAAATGGCTGGTATCAAAGTCTTGTAATGCTTCATGCCCGTAGCCAGCTCGTACAGGAGTACGTGAAGTATTGGGATAGTAATACGATGGCACAAGGCCCCGCCGCCGACACGTCGCGCACGGATGTTGCTGGTCATATTGTAACTTCGAGTCCCTGCACGGTGCGCAGCTAATGGGCTTTCGCACGCGGCGTGGGCGACTCGCTGTAATTGGTCTTGAAGATCTAGGCGTAGTGGGTGATAGGGACATTTTCGCGATGCGCAAATGGTGAACTAGAGACGAGGTGAGGTCGGAGATGTCGGACACAATTTTAAGCATTCGGGGTCCACCGGAAGGGCTTAAATCCGAGTCTTGCCACTGAACTTTACTGTATCTGATCGGAGATGGTCCGCATCTTTCTATTGCTGCTACTTGCTATATCTTCTGTGTATTTCCTCTACCTGATCATCATACTCTCCTACTGTCTCGCTTCTAATGAACGTTCCCATTTCCCCCTCTAACGCGCCCTCTTTATCCAAACTTGCCACTCGCGGGAATAGGCAAATACGGACACCCCTTCTAATCACAAGTATCCTACGCAATTAATCAGCACCATCCCATCCCATATAAAATCAAAGACAAAACCTACCTTATAAACCTCCGTCCCCCACCACTTCAACTTCCCCGAAACCCCCGAGTAATACACCGCAAAGAAAATAATCATCCCTCCAAACGACACCGATGACTCGAGCGAGCTACTCAGGATAAAATTATACCGCCGCCACCACCCATTATGCCGCCTGCGCAGAAACACCCCAAAGAAAATACCAACGATAGCCCAGCTCCCGTAGTTCATTCCCGTCGCTGGCGGGATATAGTTCAATCCGCCAAGTAATAGCGGGACACTAACATGTTTCCAGAACGAGCATGGATATTTTCGTTTCAGGACATGCATGATGACGGGGAGGAGTCCGCCGATGATAAGCAGGTAGAAGAGAGATCTGTACCCGGATTTCGGGGAGAAGAATCGTCGCGGCCCGATACCGCCCCAGATTATGCTCGTGTTGAAATTCGTCTGTGAAAACGGGCATGTGAATCCATTTATTGCGTTCGAGGTGCAGATATCCTTGATGTTGTCCAGCGCCCAGTTTACGATGCCGACTTGCCCGATTGTGCCGATTAGCATGCCGGTCCATTGCACGAGGAAGACTTCGAAGGGTGGGATCTGCCAAAGTGATGAGTAAATTTATAGACGCATTTAGGCTCTAGGTGAGAACCAACATGGTAGTATAGACACAGCTTCATGTCTTGCGCAAAGGAAAGACCGTCGAGGATAGTCGTGTATCCGAGCCCGACGAACCACGTGTTAGCTACAACTCGTCCTTCCCAGACGAATCCCGCGATGATGCGGCAGAAGACCTCAATGCCGACCTTCATGTTTGCATTCGCGTATAGAAGGGTTATCTGGTAATTTAGCAAATCATCTCGGGACACAACAATCCAGTGGATATTTACACGCTTGACGTACAGGAAAGAAGAATATCCCACCAACAGCAAAAGCGAGCAGAACGCCGTACCACCGTAGTTCGATCGACCAGTATTCAATCGCGAAGATTGCAAGTGTTATTCCGAGAGCTAGACAAATGAGATACCACCATGCTGGGACATCGCCGGTGTCCGAAGCCCCCTGGTTTGGTCGTGTGTTGCGCTTAGAGAATAGCCTCAGTCTTGTCGATTCGCGGAGAACAGTCGCAATGGAACTGCGGTGCTCCAGGGCCGTCCATGAGATAAGAGATGCTAGTGTGGCAATTGCTAAAGCAAAGGTATTCAGAGCGTATGTCATGGGCATGTATACCTATCCATCGAATAAGAAGTAGTTCTTATATAACGCGAATTCAGCAGAGGCCTTACCGGAGAATAACTTTCATACTTTGAAACGTCGACATCGAAGCATCCATCGCTTATTATCCGGCTGACATTGTAGACGTTCCCGGTGTTGTCAAAGACTATGAAGATCAGAAATCGCCATTTAGAGATGGTGCCAGAGCGATTGAGAGGACTCACTAGAAGAACTCTGAAACGGTAGGTAGGCCGTGTTCCACACATTACTATAGTAGCAAGCAGGAGCGACAATGTACACCCAGATGACTAGGGCAACGGCAATGTTGATGATAGCCCAGGAGGGAACAAGCAGTGGAGATGCGACATATGCAACCTGACTCCCTGATATGGTTGTGAATATTAGAAATAGACCGCAAGAAGAACCTTTGATTGGAGTACGCACAGTCAAAGGTGAATGGTAGGAGACCCATCCCCGAAGATACACCAAACACTTGGTTAATGACAGTACTTCCCGGCTTAATCCAGCAGACGAAACTAAAGTAGCTCAGCGCAGGAAAGATAAAGTCCGGCAGCCAGTACCAGCAGAACGAGACCGCAAAGATGAGGCAGAAGAAGGCGAATCCGGACATCCTCCGGGGACGCTGACTATCCGACTCAGGGCGGTTCGAGGTGTCGCTTTCCTCTGGAGACATCTTGCGGTTATGAAGCACAGACATCAAAGCCGTGGCGCTCAGTACCCCTGGCCAGATGATCTTGCGAGGTTCGACGAGAACTGATCGAGTGAGACCGGCAAATGCGAATCCAATAAGAAACAGCGACAGAATCATGAGTAGTTGGTATCCCCAACCAGAGTCGAGCCCGAAGAATCTCTTTTGCTCCACCAGCAGGTCTGCGGTCATGCGGGTGAAGTAGGTGATGTTGACCATGATATATATCAAGCAGTGTTCCTACCAGTGGATATTTAGCCAGCGTCATATCTGTGGTAAGGTATGGTTACCTTTGGGCTGAACGGATGCGGATTGAGCGAAAACCTCTTGCCAAATATCGGAAAGGTACGACTAGGAACAGCCTTATCCCATAGTCGGCCAGCAGGATACGCCAAAAGCTGAGCGGTGGACGCAGCAATGCTAATTGATGGACTCCGCAGTGTAAAAAGTGTATTGAGACCACAGCCAATAATTGCGAAGATAGTCCCAATAACCCACATTCGTAGAGTCAGAGCATGTTGGCCTGAGTCCTTATCGTCGGCATCGATTTGGGCGGCGTGGAGGAGCTCGTCGAGGGGATTGTCATCATCTAGTTTGCTATTAGCTGCAACGCAGCAAGCTTATATATTTTGTGGAGGAATACTGACCGGACTGTTCACCCTGGATGGTTGTCGACTGCGTCTCGGGTTTCATCGTCGCAGAGGTAACTCCAGGCATGGAGGGCGAATATGAGGGGAGATTGTGAAGCAGAGATTATCAGATTATCAGATAAGATCACAAGGTCATACAGCATAATTTATAGGTTGAAAAACGAAAACTCTGACTACTGCCAAATCACCCAAGTGGATTTGGGCTAAGGAAGATATGGGCATACTCGCCGCTGAGAGATGAGCCATGCTGCTTTCGTAGACTCAGATGAGTATCCATAGTAAGAGCTCAGTACTGTGGGTTAGATGTGTCAGGGGCCACCTGTCTAGCATCCACGCCCTAAAGAGACTCCATAACTGCAGGGACTGATCTGATCTGCCCATCTGGAGGTCTTCCTGTATTCTAATTTAGCTACATATTTTCCTGTCCACAAGGCAGTTGGCACCTCCTCCGCAGACACAAATGCCGCTACTTATGTGCATTCCTGCGAGAATCCGCGACTCTGAAGAACAAGACGAGCACATATTGCCATCTGAAGTTGTTCCAGAGTGTATAGCAGAGTGGGGCATACTTGCCTGCGATGATTAGACCTACAATGGGATATCTCTGATCGGGGACCACAAGGGGGCGTCGGAGACATCGGAGACGTCGATTTCTCACGTGGAGGCAGTGGTATTTGGAGGCTTGGAGCAGACCCTCGCCAGCATTACTCATATACCTTATCTATGATGTTTTGAAACCACGAAGCATCATCATTGTGTATAGGCTTCTGCTGCTATCTAAACTTTGCTTTTGCTGGTGTTATGGAGAATACTATCTCGTCTCGAGGCCTTGCATTGGAGGCACGGAAGCCGGTTTTCTTCGATGTTCTTAATAATCTTTGGGATCCGGAGTCAAATCCGGGTGGGATTGTGAATATCGGACTAGCTGAGAATGTAGGACAAGCTGGTCATGATATAAGCCTACCATGTTACTAATATATGCTAGGCATTGATGCAAGCTGAGATGAAGTCATTTATTAACGCGCAGGTAAGCTATTTGTTTTTCGGGTTTGAATCTATGCATCATTGATAAGATATCCTAGCCTGGGGCTGAAGCTCATGCCTTAACCTATGGTGATGGCTTCACGGGCTCCAAGAAGCTCAAAGCGGCCATGTGCTATCTTCTTAATTGTCATTTTCAGCCATATGTGCCTCTACACCCGTCACATATGTGCATTACAGCCGGAGTGAGTAGTGCGATTGAGAACTGCGCCTGGGCATTATGTGATCCGGGCGACTATGTGCTTGTGGGATGACCGTACTGGACGATGTTTAGGTCTATCTTGGGGAATCGTGCTGGGTAGGTCTCCTATCAGGTGGAGCACGGTCTCATTGTTCTAAGTGAAGCTGACGAGCCAGTGTCAACATTCTCGAGGTCACAATGGGCCAGGTAGATCCGATGGGGTTGGATGCGGTTTCGTGATTTGAAGAGACTGCCAAGAAGGCGAGGCAAGAGGGTAAGAGAGTCAAGGCTATTCTGATATGCTCTCCGAATAATCTTCTTGGTAGGTTAATTTCTGCCGCTGATGCTTTCTCTTTCTATGCCCACACTTCGGCGCAGTACGCAAGCTCATCCAGTACCAGGTCGCTGCTACCCGGAAGACGTCTTGAAGGGCTACATGAGGCTCTGTCAGAGGCTGGGCATATACTTGATATCTGATGAGCTCTATGGACTGTCCGTGTGGAATAATCTAGAATCAGATAATCTGACACTATTCATATCGGTCTTATCAATCGATGCCCAGAACTTGGTTGACCCGCAACTGGTGCACGCAGTGTGGGGGATGAGCAAGGCAGGTAGCCCATTATCTAAACACAAGATGGCTACTAGCTGACTGAGTGATTAGGACTTTGGCGCAACCGGCCTATGAATTGGCGTTCTCATTAGTCAATCGAATCCCCAGTTCCTGGGCGCATGTGAAAGTATTTTGTAAGATAACACCCTCTGTGGTTGAGCTTAGCTAACTGCTTGAAGACTATTCAACTTCCCATCGAGCCTTGTAGATAAAGCCGTTGCCGCTCTACTAGCTGATGACACAGTTATACAAGTTCGTCGCGACAAATCGGGTATGACTATCCGAAAGCTACCAGTTCGTGACGGAATTTTGCAAAGCCAACGGCATCCTGTATACAAACTCAAACGCCGCGCTTTTCGTGTGGATTAACCTTGGGGCTATAATTAGAGATGGGATGACGGATGAAATACTGTTATCACGTCTGCGGCAGGAAGGGGTGTATATGACGTCTGGAGCTACATATGCATGTGAGGAACCGGGCTGGTTTTGGGTGGTCATGGCGCACCCTCGACATGTTCTTGAGGAAGGGTTGAGTTGGATGATGCGTGTTCTTAGCTAGATATTATGAAATTAGAATATTTATGTTATGTAAGATATCCACATTTCCTGCTTTCTCTATGATCGCCTAATAAGTCTACTCAATGATTGAGTTATGTGTGTACCATCTTGCTGAATGTCATGACACTCTGTCCCGCCCAGTGACACGGCTCTATCTTCGAAAATCCGCCTGTACTCGGCAAATAATGCTAAGTAAAACCAGAACATGGTGGGGGCTCTGGATGTGTTATTCTACAAGGCCATGTGCAATATCGCCGATGTCTCTGATCGCACTGCTTGGAGATATCCAATGAGTCCTGTACTAGTAAAACCTGGCATCTCTGATATATATCCGAAAGCTTTATGCCTCGCCATATACTTAAGCATTGTACGGTAGAAAACATATATTGTAATATAACAACATTTCTCTGTGAGCGAGTGTATGAGAAACGCTCTCGGCATGAATCAGACAGTGATATCTGGGATGACGGCGATGCACCAAGTCAATCATGAAGCTCCCTCGAGCTCGAGTGGTTTGATGAATTGGGGACACTTAAGCCATCAATAACCGAAACAGAAGGGACCGCAAGATACACCAGATAGTGATAATGATGAGATCTATCCAGAAGGAGGTATATAGGGCTGGCTTTGCGTGTTCGGCAGCTTCATGGGTCTGGTGGGAAGTCTAGGACTAGTCAACTCGACGGGCATATTTCAAGCATATCTCGAATTGCATCAGCTGAGACAGCATGGGTCCGGACAGACGGGCTGGATCTTCGGTCTATTCACCTTTTTGACTTTTTTCTGCGGAATCCAGATCGGGCCTATATTCGACACTAGGGGGCCTCGACTCTTGGTGTTCTTGGGATTGATATTAATCATGGTTATGATGGTTAGCATTGGGTTCTGCCATGAATACTCTCAGTTCATCTTGACTATTGGTGTTGCTGGTGGATTTGGGACATTACTTATATTTACACCCTCTATCGCGGCCGTCGGCCATTTCTTCCAAAAGAAACGCGGTCTTGTGACAGGTATTGCTGTGAGTGGTGGCTCTATAAAAGGTGTCATTATCCTGCTTATCCTCGAGAGCCTCTTCAACAGATATGGTTTCGCATGGGCAACTCGTGTCATTACATTAGTATGCCTTATCTTCCTTGTTATTACCAGCACGCTGGTATCCTCACGCCTTCTTATAAAACCCTTCTCAAAAGAAAACACCCTCCCTGACTTCCAAATCCTATGGGAATGCAAGTTCCTGCTGACAATTATTTCCATCTTCTTCATTAAATGGAGCCTCTTTATCCCTATAACATATATATCATCCTACGCGCTTGCTCATGGTCTCTTGACCAAACTCTCTTACTAACTCCTTGCAATCTTCAATGCAGGTTCTTTCTTCGGGAGACTCCTCTCTGGTCTTCTTACAGATTCTATCAGCCGCTTTAATATACTGATTATCACTATAGCGTTCTGTCTCATCTGCAACGCGTGCCTTTGGATGCCAGCCGGTGACAGTATTACCCTTCTAATTATCTACTGCGCGCTCTTTGGGTTTGTGAGTAAGAGTAACATCAGCCTTACGCCCGTGTGTATTGGGCAGCTCTGTTGGACAGAATATTACGGTCAGTACTACGCGACTGTGTATACAGTTGTTAGTATCAGGTATGTATAGTTGTTCCCCTGTTCCTGCCCACAATTGAGGTCTTAATAAGTGTTGCTAAGGCTGAATTCCCATATGTAGTATCCTCACCGGAGTCCTAATTGCCGGAGAGATTCTTACCTGATGCGGTGGTGAGTACTGGGGCCTGATTCTGTTTATGATGTGTTGTTATGCGATTGGACTTGTGTGTGCTGTTGCGGTTAAGGTTCTTCAGTGTGGATGGTGGGATATATGGGTGGTCTATTAGAGCTCTACAGCTTGGATAATTGAATGATATAGTGGAACTCTGTGCTGTAGTCACTATAATCACAAAGTAGTCCAGAAATATAGCGACCATGAATTTAGCCTTCTCTCTTCCACGCGGATTATCTGTTCCAAGCTGAGCTGTTTCCAGCAATCACATATGGAACTAGTATACATATTTCTCAATAACTGTAATGCAAGGCCTGGATTCGTTTCTTGTATGTAATAAAGATCATAGAGAGTTCTCTGATCAAGTACACTCCATCCATTCTCTAGGTCTCCGACATCTCTGATCTGTAAACTGGCGCGGGCTAGAAACATAGTGTCTTGCATTGTACTGTACTTGACACCAACCAACTGCAAAGCATCCTCAGCCTACTTTGGATCTGATAACTGGGATCTGATAACCTGCGGCGCTGGGTAACTAGCGGGACTTTCTTCTTCTATCAAAGGCAGGTCTATATAAAGGTGTACCAGCCCCTTTCACTGTCTTCTTCAAAAGTCACGCCAACCACCATCTCCTTGTATTTGTTATACTATAAGCCTCTTTCCCTTCAACCGAGCATCACTATGGCGTCTGTTAAGTAAATTACTACGACAATCTGGCATGGCGTACGTTTATATCTTTAACTCTCCTAACACCGCAGCCCTAAGTGAGACTTCTAACTAACTAAACCAAACACAGGACAGCCGCGAAAAATTTCTCCAAACACACATCCTCGCCCTCCTGTACCTATGTAACAACCCCACGGCCATCCTCTCCGAAATTGACACGTGGGTAGTGATAAATAACCACTGCATGATGACAATCAGCCCTGACCGAAGCAAAGTAATCACAGAAATTATCCGCTCCGCGTGTCCACGCACCATGGTCGAGCTTGGTGGGTATGTTGGATACTCAGCTATTCTCTTTGGTGATGAGGTGAGGAAAGCCGGTGGAGAGCGGTATGTTAGCTTTGAGGTCAACACCGAGTATGCGGCGATTGCGAGGTCCCTTGTGGAGTTTGCCGGGCTTGGCGGGTTTGTGGAGCTTCGAATGGGTTTGTGCTCAGAGGGTTTGGAGGAGTTTGCTGGGCAGGAGAGAGGGAAAGGTCAGGAGGGAGTGATGTTTGATGTGCTCTTCTTGGATCATGCAGAGGAGTTGTATCTTCCTGATTTGAGAATCTGCGAGAAGTTGGGTCTTGTACGACGTGGGTCCGTTATCATTGCTGATAATGTTGGCGGGGTGGGGAAGAGTGTGAGAGTGAGGGGATATGTGAAGTGGGTGGAGGAGGGGGACAAGTATGAGACGAGGAGAATTCCCTGTGTCCTGCCAAATGGGGAAGAGGTGAGTTTGTCTAGCCTGAGACCCGTCCGCGCCTTGGTATGAATGTTTAATTTGCTCACGTTTGGTAGGATGCGATTCTTATTTTGGAGATGATTCTTAGTGATGTGCTATAGGGATATCTAAAGGAGTTGGAGGCAGGTATTTGACGACCGGGTCTCGGGCGTGGTATGGTAATGAAGTAGGTGTGTTTTAGGCAATTTTTCTCTATGTATAGGTAGCACTATTTTCAACCCCTGATCACATCGTCGTGTGCCTTCCATAAGCCCATTTCCCAGTAGTGAGTCGGGGAATAAAAATAGCAGCCATATCATTTTAGGTCGATGGGGAACGGCATTCAACTGACCAAAAAAAGGCATTGTCCGTTTGAAGGCTAGAGGCGCTTGTAAACTACCTATAAGCATACAGCACGCCCGGTAATATACACTCCAACTTCCAAGTCTTCTAACACCATGTATTGGATATGGTTGGCAAGACCTGTCCATCCTGGATCTTGCTCATCTGTGTATCAGCCTACAAAAGATCTGATTGCATCGAGACAGACTTGTCGAAAAAAGACAACCACCGACATAGCCGTCGCCGCTTGATCTACATACGAGGCAGGCACAGACATGCGACAAAAGCCAACCTCCAACGCCTAGCTCAAATTCACAACAACCCAGCAATCAAATCCTGCACCCCCTAGACCCTCGCCACGAACATCCTCCCAACCAACCTCCCCCTCACAAGAACATAACCAAGCAACGCCGCCAAAAATGCCACACCACAAAACACCTGCAACCCCAAGAGCCCACCCCGCTGCCTCGCAACAATGGCCCCCGCAATAGGAGACCCAGTGAGTGCACCAAACAACTGAAAGACAAAACAAGTGCCCTGGCGCGTGCCGATCTCGCGAATGTCCGAGATCTGCGCGACGAGCGTCGGCGCGAGGGAGATAAAACTTCCCGAGAAGAGTCCGTACAGGATAGCGAATGCGAGGAGGGCTGCTTCATTGTTCTGGCTGGGGATCCAAGAGGCGAGGGTGCATAGGGCTGTTAGGAAGGTTACGGCGATTATTATGTTGTAGCGGCCTACTTTATCAGCAAGGAGGCCGGGTATTATTCGCCCGGGGATGCTGTGGACGTGGACATCAACTTGGATTAGTCTTTGGGATGGAAGGATCGAGTGGTAGAAAGGGGTTGAATTACCTCACGGCATTGATGATTGGAAGCAGATACTGTGCCAGTTCAGGGTGCATCCCTGCTTCTTCTGCTTGAAGGATGATGTAGTTTAATGGAATAAAAAGACCCCAGTAGAATAAAAATGATGCCACGCAGGTCAACGCAAAAGCCGGCTCGCGGAAGCCTCCAAGGTAGCTTGCAATGCTAAAGGGCTTCGGTCGCGGGGGCACTCTTGATACTAAGGTGCTTGCAGAGACAGCAAGAAGACTAAGAATAATAAAAGCCACAATATGAATTGTCCAGGGGAATCCCAGGCGGGGAATAAGCTTGTTTATTATAATAGATATGATGACACCACTGAGTGAGAAGCCTGAAACCATGATGCCAAATGCGAAGGTATAGTGACACTTAAACCAGGAAATGACTGAGGCAGTGCAGCAGTTGAAAACTGCCGAGACGCCAGATGCTGCGATGATGCCTTGAGAAAGAAAGATCTGGTAATATTTATCTGATAGAAAGATTATTATTAAACTGAAAATGTAGGCCAAGGCACTGGCAGTAAATATCCATCGAGGCCTAAACTGGTTAAAGAGGGGGCCAAACTGTATGTCGCTTGTTAGCCAGTTGAGATGAAAATGACCGCTGGGGAAGAGGGTGTTACATAGTAGAATACCCGTAAATGGGATGCCCTAGGCCTGGAATGAGGTGATCCAGCTGACGTTGCCTTGGCTGTAACGATGGAAAGGACCTTGATTACTGATGTAGTATGTCTCAAAGACACCGATGTAATTAACAAGGCCAAATGTGCAAAACATATCATACCAGCAGCTGAGGACCACCAACCAAGCCTCAACACCACCTTCGGGGAAGTCATCCACAGTAGGAATCACGGTCTCTTTCATATCATGACGTTCTTGAATGTCACTGGATTGTGTTTCGGTATCATGGGGGCAGCTTTTGACCGCCTGCGGGACCAGCATGTTGATGGTTTTCTTCTCCTATAAGGAATAAATAAGTTAAATATTTGGGATGTAGTCTGAATGGACAATCTCCTGTTTACTGGATGAATTCTTTATTCATATATATTGTCTATCCTCGGCTGATCTGTAGCCAATCCGGACCAGCTGAGAGCGCGACAGATCTCTGTAATATACACCTCAGGCATCAGGGCTCTTCGCGGTTCGTAAACTTCTCCGAACTCATCTCTGATTTCTTCATCCAGTATCTCTGATCTACTCTACAAGATAATGTTACCCACGGTTAGACAGCCTACTAGAGCTACAGTTTCTAGTAGGGAAATCTTTACAACAGGATAACAGTCAAACAGTATCTGACTAATTTTAAACTGTGACAGCCAGTCAAATAATCCTTTATTCAGTGCTATCTAGACTAGAATATCAAACATGAGAAGGAAAAGAAGGAAATATATAGAAATATATATAAATAATAAAAATAAATAAACAAAGTAAATATAACTATATTATATAACCCAGTTACATGCTTTTAAATACTACTTGCTATTATATCATCTCTCTTACTAAGATTAGCTGTCCTCAGCCAGTAAGATATTATTATTTTTAGAGTGGTTATTCCTAACCATTATAGAGTGGTTATACCTGACCGTTATATCTTAACCTAACCTGAAAAGGGCTAGGCCCTGTCAGCCATCCGGAATCGGAACATCTATGTTCTGACCTGTCTGGTTCTGGATCTTGACCTGGAGATATTTATAAGAAAAATAAAAATTTCTAAAGTAATAAAAAAGTTTATTAGAATTATAAAGAAAAACTCCTAGAAAAATTATTTATAAGAAGAACTAATCTGTCTATAAATTAGATAATTCTTTTTTTAATAAATTTAACTTTTTTATTAATTATTATATTTTATATAGTTCTTCCAGCTTCTTAGCCTATTATAATTTTAAATTTATTTTTTTTTAAAGTATTTATCAGATAACAGACTAGTAATATATAATAATTATAATAAATTAATAAATATCTCCAGTTACTATGGAAATATTATTTAAGCTAATATTATTAATCAGTTAATTAAATATATTAAAGAACTAATAATTTAAAATATAAAAATATAATATATTATCTTTTAACAGAGTATAATAACAGATAATAAGATTAAGACTAGTCTTAAATAAATTAAGTAATTTATTAATACCTGACTTTTATTTTTTTAAATATTTATTATAATATTTTTATTTATATTAATATTAATATTAATATTAATATCAGTCCAAGATCCGGCTGATATAAAAAAATTAAAGTTATTAATATCTGTAAATTTTAATAAAAAAAATAAAAATAAATTTCTGAACTGGCTTAATAATATATAAATAAAGATTAAGATTAATTAATAATTTATTAATATACTGGCTGAACAGGCCTGGTATATATTTATATTTTTAAATAAAAAAATTAAAGTAAAGATTAATTTATAAATAAAAATTAATTATAAGATTTTATTCTTCTTAGTTACAGTTTTAATTAATTATTTTAAATTAATCTATAAGAATCTTATTTAATAAAAAAAAGTTATTAATAAGCTGTCCATTCTTAAGCAGAAAAATTAAATAATTAATAATCTCTTAATAAAAGTTAACAGCCTGCTAATTAAGGCCGGAAGATATAATTAAAAAAATTTAAATAAAAAAAATCTTTTATATTAAATTTTAAATAATAATATCTGCTAATAAATAGTAGATATTAAATAAAAATTAGATTTTAAAAACTTTTATTAATAAGTTAAACAGGTAGCCAATAAACTTATAAAAATAAATTAATTTTTAAAAAAATAACTAAAATATTTTAATACCTGGGCAGGTAGTGTCTCTAAAAAAATAATTATAAATAATATTATAAATTAGAAATCTATTATAATAAATATAGAATCTGCTTGATAAGCTTAATAAATATTAAAAAAAATATTAGTTAAATATTATAAGATAGAACTTTGTCTATATTATAAATTCTTAAAATATTATATTATTAAATATTTCTATTTATTATTATAACACTTTTAAAATTTAAAAAATAAAATTTATTAAATTTTATTTAAAGATAATCCAGCCAGTAAAGCTAGTTAGATATTAAAAAATTTAGTTACTTAATAATTTCTAGTTCTGGAAAAAACTTAGCTTCTCTAGATTATTATCTGAAAAAATATATACTAGTTAATTATAATTATAAAGAATTTAAAAAAAAGATTTAAAAATTTAAAGACCATTATACTTTCTCTATATTAGAATTAATTAATAAAATTTATTTTATAAATATTTTAATTAATATTAATTATATATCTTATAGGATGATCAGCTAGAATTTTATAAATAAAAATAAATTAAAATATATTTTTATTAAATCCTGAAGTATCAAAGAATTTAAGAAAAGAGAAGTCTGTATAACTGAATTAGTAAAAATATTATTAAATATAGATAGAAGCCTGTAGAAGTATATATATTTCTATATTTTATTATATATATATAAATATAATATTATATTAAAACTTCTGTGAATAAAGTACTAGAATATAATATTTTAAATTAAAGATTTTATATTTAATATCTAGAGCACAGGGGTAGAAGTATAATATAAATAAAAATAAAATTATTTTTTAATATTATTTATAATCTCTACCAACGTGTGGTATACTTAGAAAAATTAAAAAAAGAAAAAAAATTTAATAAAATTATTTATAATAAGTCTAGCAGATATTAATAAAATTTTTTATAAATTTAATTAACTAAAAAATTCTATAAAAATAAAGAGTAAGCTACCAGACTTTTATTATAAATATTTAAATATTTTTAATAAAATAATAATAGACATCTTATTACTTTATTATCTAGAGATAGACTATATTATTAAGATAATTAAAAATACTAAAAAAAAGAAAAAAAAGATTTTTTAGAATTTTTTCTATTAAATAAATTAACTAGAATTCTTGATACTACAGAAAACTCTAATTAATTTTTTAAAAAAAAGATTTATAAAAATTAATAACTCTCTAGCAGCTGCGCCTGTGCTATTTATCTTAAAATCTAATAATAATTTATATTTTTATATAAATTACCAAGTACTTAACTAAATAATTATAAAGGACTAGTATTCTTTATTATTTATTTAAAAAATTCTTTAATATATTTCAAAGATTTATTATTATATTAAACTAGATATTATCCAGGTCTTCTACTATATCTAAATCAAAGAAGAAAATAAATAAAAAACTATATTTTATATTTATTTTAAATTATTTAAATGGCTGGTAGCCCTGTTTAAACTTATTAATTATTTAAATATATTTTAGTAATATATTAACTGGATTTTATAAGAATTTCTTAATAAATTCTACTCTGCTTATATTAATAATATTCTTATCTTTATAAATAAAAGTCTAGTTATATATTATATCTAAATATAATAAATACTAAAATATTTATAAGATACAGGCCTCCAAGTAGATATTAATAAATATAAATTTAAGATAACTACTATGAAATATCTAGAATTTATTATTAAGATAAAAAAAAAAATTTATATAGATTTTATTAAGATTCAGATTATATAAGACTAGAAGATATTAAAGACTGTTTATAATATTAAAGTCTTTCTAGAATTTATTAATTTTTATTAGTAATTTCTTAAAGACTAGAAAATTTACTCAGAACTCTTAATATAACTTATTAAAAAAGATATTAAATTCAGCTGGATACCAGAGATTTAAAAAATATTTAAAATTTTTAAAGAAATTTTTATTACTGCTCCTGTCCTCATATATTAAGATTTTAAATAAGAAATACTAGTAGAAATTAACTTCTTTAGATAATATACAAAAGGGGTACTATTTTAATAAAATAATTAAAAAATTTTTTATTTAATAATATATTTTTTAAAGAAAAATCTGCCTGTAAAGTATAATTACTAGATTTATAATAAAAAACTGCTAATAATTATCTAAGTCTTATAAAAATAAAAACTAAAGCTTATTATATTTTCTTATTTTAAAATTCTTAATAATTATTAAAATTTAGAATATTTTATAATTTAATAATAATTTATAGAGTAATAGATATATTAAGTCTAATTCTTAAATTATTTTAATTTTATAATTAATTACTGCCCAGAAATAATAAATATTTAATTAAATATCTTATTTTAAAGATCCCAAAACATATCTAAAAAGAAAGATAAGTATATTATAAATTAAAAAATCTAGTTATTTTATTCTATATCTAAAGAAAAACTTATCTATATAATATCTATTAATAAAATTTTTAATAAAGAAATTCCTGCTAGTCTAGAATCTGAGAAATTAATATTAGATAATCTATAAAAATAAACAGAATAAACTAATAAAAATTTAAAAGAATATTATAAAATAATAGCTAAAGGCAGGCCTGAATTCTTTAAATAACTAAAATTAAAAATCTTTATTATAAAATATTAGTTAGATATAAACTAATACTTACTTTTCTAAGAATAAGTCTAGATTTTTAATTCAGAGTTCTTATAAACTTAGATTATTTAAGAAATCTATAATAATATAATTACTAGATATTTTAAATAAGACTAGACTTATAAAATAATTACTTACTACTATTACTAACTAGATATAAATAAAAATATTTATTAGTTTTACTATAACTGTAACAGCTATAAGATTAATTATATTTAAAAAGATTATAAATAAGATTTCTTAAAATTACTACTAATTTCTGATTAATCTTAATAAAATATTATTATTAATTTTCTAGTAGACCTCCCGGAGTCTCAAGATTATAAAAATATTATAATTATTACTGATTAATTAATTAAAAATATTATTATTAAAGCTATCTTGAGCATAGATATAAAAGATTTTATAAATATATTTATTTAAATATTTTATAGTT